GTGTGTGGTTTAATAGGATAGTGTGTGGTTTAACAGAGTGGTGTGTGATTTAACAGGACGCTGTGTGGTTTAACAGGATTGACCAGCACTGACCTCATACTTTTGCATACAGCTCTCAATTTCTCCTTGGGTCAAAGGAGCATCATCGTAATCATCCGGTGGGTCCATCCAGGAGAGCCTATTGCTGGGAGGCTCACTGTTCTCTCCCTGCACCATGTCCTTCTCCTTTCTCCGGTGTCTCAGCATCACACTCAGCTCCTTCCCATCCTCTCCACCGTCACCATCATCAGTCTCCATCTTCGCATCGTGCTCACACAGTTCAAACACCAGTCCCCCCTCAGCCCCTCGCTCCACCAGGATCGGACTGCCTTCCTCCATTAACATCCCTTGTAAGAGTCCCTCCATCTCACAGTTCCTCTCTTCCTTCACCCCCTTCTGCCCACTCCCGGCAAAACTCACTTTCTTGGAGAGGCGAAGACCGCAGTCCAGGACACTATCCTTGTCTCCTTCCTCATCGTTTGGCGGCTGCTCCTCCTCCTCAGGAGCCCCACAAGCCCCGTTTTCACACTTGTGTTCCTGCTCCTGGTTCCCGTTTCCCCGGTTGGGGTCCGGTTGTCCCATACTGTCTTCACCCGCTGTGTGTGTGCTCTCGCTGACCTCCCTGGCCTGTCCTGGGGAGTACCTGAACAGGTTGGTCAGCATCCTGACTGTCACCTGGAGGGTGAGGTGTCCCTGCTTGTATTTCGCATAGAACAGGGGCTGCAGAACCTCCTTCACATTCAGGATGATCTGCCTGGTTATTAAAAGAGCAGCCAACATCTGTCAGCAGAAAGATAACAAAACAAGGATTAAAAATCTCACCATTGCAGTTGTTCACACACACCAGCTGTCAACATTTTTTTATTCACTTGTGGAATGTAGGTGTCACAGGCTGGGCCCAGTATTTATTGCCTGTGTCTAACTGCTCTTTGAGAAGGTGATGGTGAGCTGCCTTTTTAAACCCACATGCCATCTGTTTGGTGGATCAGTCACCACTTCCCAAACCCTCAGCATTTTACATCTTTTACCGAGCCCCATACAATCATCTGCAATGTCCATAGATATTGTTCCAGAAAATACAGGTTAAACATACACACAGACAGACAGACAGACAGACACACACACAGAATCAGTGCTGGGACTCAGTCCCCTGTTTTATACACACACACACACACACACACACACACACACACACACAGATACACACACACACACACACAGTCCGTTCTGGCACACTCGGTTTCTGATCCTGCATTTAACTGAATATTTCTATTCTATTCTATTCCTATTCAATTCTCTTCCCTCCGTGTGACTAGCCTCTCAATGGTCCCGTGATGCTGCAGATCTTGTAAATTACAAGTGATTCTTTGAGCAGGGGCTGATGTCATTACTGCATTCCCCTTGGTTGGTTTATCTATGTAGTTGCTGCAGTCTGTGTTTTCTTTATAACCTTTCTATGCAGTATTGCTGCTAATTCTCTCACTCCCTGACCTAATCATATCTCCCATCCTAACTCGTCTCTGTGAAATCCCCAATGAATATTAATCATTGGCAGCGTATTTATAATCATTTTTCCTATTATTAATACTTCTCAGTTGGAATGAGCCATCTTTAACAAACCAAATGGAATTACTTGCTCCTGCTGTAATCCATTACAGATAAGGACTGAATACCAGGAAGTATAATGAGATGAATGGCTTGATTTTTAGCTGGCGCATATACAATTGGCCTCTTCCTGTGTCAGTATCTCTCTCTGATTCTCAGATCATTTCTTTGGAAATATTGCAAAGTCTTTCAAATATTCCAGTACCTGCCAGAGATCCAAAACCCCACTCTCCGTGCAGAGCTGAGGGAATGCTGAACTGTTTGAGGTGCCATCGTTAAGATGAGACATTAAACCCCACATCTGCACCAGCCCCTCCTGTTGTTATTCCCTCTTTAATCAGATCAGCTGATCACTGGACTCCACATTGTAGGGTCTTACTGTGTGTAAATTGGCTGTCATTTTTCTTACATTGCTTCACTGACAACATTAAAAGGTGCGTCAGTGGCTGTAAATCCACGAGATGGTCTGAGGCTGTGAATGGCGCTACAGAAATTCATGTCTTTTTTATAGCGTTCAATATGTGTCAGTTTGGTCTGCACATTCTTCCATAACTGCCTCACCTTTCCCTGTCTCTGTAACCCTGCTCAAGGCCACAATGTCTACAGTCTCAACCCATGTTTATTGAATCCTAATGTTACCCTCATTTGCTCACAAAACTGTTCAGTCAAAGGAGACACCTGGTTGCTAGCTCTGAGAGTAGGTCAGGAGAAATAGAGAGGGTCAGGGTGGGGGAGGTGAAGAGGTGGAGGAGGTGAGAGAGGAGGCAGTCGAAGAGGAAAACGAGGAGGTGGTGGAAGATGTGAGTGAGAAGATGGGGAGGAGGTGAGTGAGGAGGCAAGTGAGGAAGTAAGGGAGGAGGCGAGGGAAGAGGCAAGTGAGGAATTAAGGGAGGAAGTGGAGGAAGAGGTGAGGGAGGGATGGTGAAGAGGATGCAGGGAGAGTGAAGACCGTACAGCCTCCAGTGGGTGAAGAATGTAGATCCCTACCTGCCCTCAAAGGAGGCAGTTAGGAACAGGCCGGCCAGTGAGCCCCCACATTCCCATGAATGAATAAACGAAGAGGGGAGATAAATGCAGAAAGGGAATAAACGGGAGGGAGGGAGGAGAGAGAGGCAATTTCTTACTAGTAGACAAATTATCCATGGTACTGAAAGAACCAGGTAAATCAACATTCAGTGTAGCCGCTGCCTCTGCCCCCCACTTCTCTCCCATTGCCCCACCCTCCATCTCCCCCTCCCCTCTCCCTGTCCTCTCGCCTACCTCCACTTCTCTCTGCCTACCCTCCCCCTCTCCTCCCCTACCTCACTTCCCCCTCCTCTCACTGCCATGCTGCGGAATTTCTAGTTTGGGGTAAAGACAGAATTCAGATGAAAACGTGTTTCCCTTCCTGCTCTGCCATCCCTGTGTAGTTTGTGCTGACTCAGGGTAATGAAAAGCTGCACTGCAGTGTGCTGGTTCGGAGCTGCAGCATCGTGGTCTCTGTGCTTATCACAGACACAGGCCCGAGACTGGGGCATGGTCCCAGCTAGGGACTGACTAAGCCCAGGGGCTGGGGAAT